CCTTTATAACTGTAAAAAGAAAATTCTGCATTACCTAGGCTCTTATTTTATTGTCATTCACTTAAAAATTATCAAGTATTCTGGTTGTCAAGCAGCATTTGCTATCATCTAATTTACCTACTAAATTTCTTTAATGTATTTGCACTGTTTAAATTTGGAACAGTCCATACAAATTATAAGTGATTTTAAATATTGATATAGAAAATTTGAGCTGCCACCAGTAAAGAGCCTGGTAGATATGTGTAGTATGCTTGTGGCAATGGTGTATCAATTTAGGTACCAGCTTGTTAAGGGTAAAAAAAAACACATCAAATTTCAATCATATTCATGTTAGAAATATCATATTTTTTCATAAAGAAACTAAACATTTTTCATAAAGAAACTAAACAGACTTTTGAATGCATTCTTATTTTATAACTTTAATTTTTTATGATTATCTTAAATATTTACATCGTTATCTATGTTTGATTCAGCTACATTTTTGTTTGAATTTTATTTTTGAGATTTGTTTTGTTATGCATTGTTTATTTGCAATTTCATATTATTATCTCAAAATGACCAGTTAACCAGTAAAATCATGAATGATAAGGTAACCCCCAACAAAATCAAATATATGAAAAAGTAGAGATTTGCATTTAGCTAAATGCTTGCCACTTAAGTGCTGAATATTCAAGCCTTAAGTGCTGAATGCTTGTCATTTAGGTATTGAACATTTTAGACTTAAGTGCAGAAAATTTTAGACTTTAGGGGGCTGAATATTTGAGAATTCAAGTTTTTGCTTTTAGTTTAATAGTAACGTGTTCTGTATATTCAAGACTTACATGCTGAATATTTGTGACTTTTTCTAGAGTTAAATGCTGAATTATGAAGACTTAAATGTGGAATATTCTAGTCTTAAGTGCTTTAGTATGACATAAAAGTGCTGAATATCTTAAGGCCTTAAAGCATAGAATATTCAAGTTTTTTTCTTCAATATAATAAAAATTTGTTTTAATTTTTCCCAAGAGACACGACCAAATACATGTATATAATTGTGTTAAAGTGGGCATTAAAATCAGGAAAGCAATTTAAAAACCAGACAAGAATACCAAGCTTCGTAAAACAGTAAGGTGCAACCTTTGCTAAATGGCTCTGGTATAGCAGTACCTTTTTACAACACTCATACATTCCCAAAGTTACAATTTCTACTTTTTTTCAGTCACAACCAAATGTTTGTCTATCAAATGGCGTTTTTTGTGGATTTTGGATTGTATTAATGCACTTAAATAAAAAGACTTTCCAAGTTTTGATAGATATAAATGTTCTGGGGTCAGACAGACAAAAAACAGGTCATGGAATGGAACATTTATTAAAATTTGAGAGAAATTACCTCTATAACATTTTCTTTGAAGAATTTTAATACATATTTGTATATAAGCTTTTCTTTCAAAAAACATAACTTTAAAACTTAAGTGCCCATATTGATTCAATTTTAAAACTTAAGTGCCCATATTGATTCAATTTTAAAACTTAAGTGACCATATTGATTCAATTTTAAAACTTACGTGTCCATATTGATTCAATTTTAAAACTAAAGTGACCATATTGATCCAATTTTAAAACTTAAGTGACCATATTGATCAAATTTTAAAACTTAAGTGACCATATTGATCCAATTTTAAAACTTAAGTGCCCATATTGATCCAATTTTAAAACTTAAGTGCCCATATTGATCCAATTTTAAAACTTAAGTGCCCATATTGATTCAATTTTAAAACTAAAGTGACCATATTGATTCAATTTTAAAACTAAAGTGACCATATTGATCCAATTTTAAAACTTAAGTGACCATATTGATCCAATTTTAAAACTTAAGTGACCATATTGATCCAATTTTAAAACTTAAGTGCCCATATTGATCCAATTTTAAAACTTAAGTGCCCATATTGATTCAATTTTAAAACTTTAGTGACCATATTGATTCAATTTTAAAACTTAAGTGACCATATTGATCCAATTTTAAAACTTAAGTGACCATATTGATCCAATTTTAAAACTTAAGTGCTCATATTGATCCAATTTTAAAACTTAAGTGCCCATATTGATTCAACTTTAAAACTTAAGTGTCCATATTGATTCAATTTTAAATTTTAAGTGCCCATATTGATTCCAATTTTAAAACTTAAGTGACCATATTGATCCAATTTTAAAACTTAAGTGCCCATATTGATTCAATTTTAAAACTTAAGTGACCATATTGATTCAATTTAATAACTTAAGTGCCCATATTGATTCAATTTTAAAACTTTAGTGCCCATATTGATTCAACTTTAAAACTTAAGTGATCATATTGATTCAATTTTAAAACTTAAGTGACCATATTTGATTCAATTTTTATAACTTAAGTGCCCATATTGATTCAATTTTAAAACTTTAAGTGCCCATATTGATTCAACTTTAAAACTTAAGTGATCATATTGATTCAATTTTAAAACTTAAGTGCCCATATTGATTCAATTTTAAAACTTAAGTGTCCATATTGATTCAATTTTAAAACTTAAGTGCCCATATTGATTCAATTTTAAAACTTAAGTGCCCATATTGATTCAATTTTAAAACTTAAGTGCCCATATTGATTCAATTTTAAAACTTAAGTGCCCATATTGATTCAATTTTAAAACTTAAGTGCCCATATTGATTCAATTTTAAAACTTAAGTGCCCATATTGATTCAATTTTAAAACTTAAGTGTCCATATTGGTTCAACTTTAAAACTTTAGTGCCCATATTGATTCAATTTTAAACTTAAGTGTCCATATTGATTAAATTTTAAAACTTAAGTGACCATATTGATTCATCTTTAAAACTTAAGTGCCCATATTGTTTCAATTTTAAAACTTAAGTGCCCATATTGATTCAATTTTAAAACTTTAGTGCCCATATTGATTCAATTTTAAAACTTAACTGTCCATATTGATTCAATTTTAAAACTTAAGTGATCATATTGATTCAATTTTAAAACTTAAGTGCCCATATTGATTCAATTTTAAAACTTAAGTGTCCATATTGATTCAATTTTAAAACTTAAGTGATCATATTGATTCAATTTTAAAACTTAAGTGCCCATATTGATTCAATTTTAAAACTTAAGTGCCCATATTGATTCAATTTTAAAACTTAAGTGCCCATATTGATTCAATTTTAAAACTTAAGTGCCCATATTGATTCAATTTTAAAACTTAAGTGCCCATATTGGTTTAATTTTAAAACTTAAGTGACCATTGTGATTCATTTTAAAGGTGTAAACATTAGACTAAATGAAAAAAAATAACAAAAAAAATTAATAAAAATTTATTGAGTTAGCCATCAGATGTATTATGTAAATTTCTACAATTTAGTTCCACCATAATCGTATCACAGTCAGTGAAAAAGGTGATGAGTAAATTTAGCACTTAAAAGGATTAGTTTAAATGATCAAAGATTATAATTCATGAATATGTCTTCTGATAACAGGATATTATTCTCATATGAGTCTTATTTTTATGCCACCGCAGCATCTGCGATGCGGTGGCATATAGCGATTCACCTGTGTGTGTGTGTGTTAGTGTGTGTGTTTGTGTGTGTGTTATATAGATTATATAGTGAACTTAAAAAATCTTCTTGTGAAAAACCACTAGTCCAATTTCAACCAAACTTGGCAGGATTGTTCCTTGGGTGAAGGGCTTCCAAAGTTGTTCAAAGAATTTCATTCCATGCAGAAATCTGGTTGCCATGGCAACCAAAAGGAATTATAAGAATAAATTTAAAAAATCTTCTTGTAAAGACCCAAAAGGCCTAGAGCTTAGATATTTTGCATATGGCATTGTCTGGTAGACCTCTAACAAGATTGTTCAAATTATAGCCCTGGGGTCAAAAATGGCCCCGCCCCGGGGGTCATTGATTTTCACTATGTACATATAGTAAAAACTTAAAATACCTTCTTGTAAAAACCCAAAAGGCCTAGAGCTTAGATATTTTGCATAAGGCATCATCTGGTAGACCCTTACCAAGATTGTTCAAATTATAGCCCTTGGGTCAAAATCGGCCCCGCCCCGGGGTCATTGATTTTCACTATATGTACATATAGTAAAAACTTAAAACACCTTCTTGTAAAGACCCAAAAGGCCTAGAGCTTATATATTTTGCATAAGGCATTGTCTGATAGACCTCTACCCAGATTGTTCAAATTATAGCCCTGGGGTCAAAATCGGCCCCGCCCCCGGTGGCCATAGGTTTTCCTTATATGTATATAGTAAAAACTTAAAAAATCATCTTCTCTAAATTTACAAAGGCTAGAGTTAAGATATTTTGCATGAAACATTGTGTAGTGAACCTCTTGCAAGATTGTTCAAATTATAGCCCTGGGGTCAAAATTGGTTCCGCCCCGGGGGTCATTGATTTTCATTATGTACATATAGTGAAAAAATAAAAAATATTTTTGTCTGAAGGTACAAGGCATAGAGCTTTGGTGTTTGATATATAATATCATTAATAGGTCCTCTACCAAAGTTGTTCAAAATTTTCCCCTGGTGTCAAAATTGGCCCTGCCCGGGGGCAGTGATTCTCATTATGTACACATAGTAAAAACAGAAAATAAAACAAATGTTTTATGAATGGGAGAAAGCTATAGCTTATATATTTGACTTGAAATGTTATTTGGTGGACCTGTATCAAAATTGTTTTGAATTAAACCCTTGGGCCCAAGTGGACAGTGACCTACTTTCTTGTCCTTTGATGTTCAGCAATGACATTTTGACCATGTGCACAGTTTTAGTTGTAAAATTGAACTTTGATATCAGGTGACCTAGATTTTGATGATGTGACCTACTTTCTTGTCCTTTGATGTACAGCTATGAAATTTGAACCATGCGGTGGCATAGCATTTTTCTCAAATGCAATCTTGTTTTTACTTGTTTCTATATTTAGAATTTGTTGCTATATTTAGAATTTGATGCTATATTTTGAATTTGATGCTATATTTAGAATGCCTCATTCATGTCGAGAGACCAATCAGCACTTAATTTAGCATTTAGAAATTCTGTAGTAAGTATATATTTACTGTAACCCTTTATTTTCTTTGTGTTTATTTTTTCTTTCTTTTTAATGTACTATTTCTATCTTAACTCACTTCTCATCTAACTCACTTCTAATCCTAAAATGTTTGCTATACAATAACTCTTAACTGAGTTCATCTTTTTATAGTTTGTACAGTTTTGTATAAGAAAAAAGGAGCATTTGAGACAATAATGTATTCAAAAGGATATTAAAAAATATTTGTAAAATAGCTTATTGCTATTATTAAGCATAATAATTTTTGTGAGCAATGGCCTAAAGGTTTAGGTGAGCAATGTCATATTGGTTTAAGTTGGTTTAAGTGGGTTATGACCTATTGGTGTTACTGAGCAATGGCCTATTACTTTAAGTTAGCAATAGCCAAGTAATTTAAGTGAGAAACAGTCAAGTGATTTAAGTGAGCATTTGCCTTTTGGTTTAAAAGAGCAATGGCAATTTGGTGTAAGTAGGCAATGACCTATTTCTTTGAGTGAGCAATGGACAAGTAATGTATGTGAGCAATGGCCAAGTTATTTAAGTGAGCATTGGCCTATTGGTTTAAAGAGCAATGGGTAATTGTTGTTAGTAAGCAATGGCCTAATGGTTTAAGAGAAATATGACCTATTGGTGTTAGTAAGCAATGAAGTGTTACTTAAAATGAGCAATGGCAAAGTGATTTAAGTGTGGCATTGGCCTAGCAATGACTTATTGTTTTAGTGAGATATGGCCAAGTGGTTGAAGTAAAGCATAGAATTTTCATCTAAATGAAGAACAGCCTATTGGTTTCTGTTGGCAATGGCTTATAATGTAAGTAAACAATGGCCTGTTGTATAAGTGAACAATGGCCTATTTGTGCAAATGAGTGGATGCCTTTGATGTAAATGAACAATAGCCTTTTTGTAAGTGAGCTATGACCTATTGGTGTAAATGATCAGGTGCCTTTTTAGCTCACCTGTCACAAAGTGACAGGGTGAGCTTTTGTGATCGCTTTTCGTCCTACGTCCATCCGTCGTCCGTCCGTCGTCCGTCCGTCCGTCGTCCGTCCGTAAACTTTTGCTTTAAATGACATCTCCTCATAAACCACTGAGCCAATTTCATCCAAACTTCACAGGAATGTTCCTTTGGTGGTCACCTTTAAAAATTGTTCAAAGAATTTAATTCCATGCAGAACTCTGGTTGCCATGGCAACCGAAAGAAAAATCTTTAAATATCTTCTTTTTAAACAACCCTAAGAGCTAGAGCTTAGATATTTGCATGAAACATCTTCTAGTGAGTGTCTACCAAGTTTGTTCAAATAAAAGCCCTGGGTCAAAAATTGGCCCCGCCCCAGGGGGTCATTGATTCTCCCTATATGCATATAGTAAAATCTTAAAAAATCTTCCTTTAAAGAACTCAAAGAGCTAGAGCTAAGATATTTAGCATGAAACATGTTCTAATGGGTGTCTATTAAGTATGTTCAAATAAAAGCCCTGGGGTCAAAACTGGCCCCGCCCGGGGGGGAGGGGGTCATTGATTTTCCTTATATGTGTATAGCAAAAACTTAAAAATCTTCTTTGAAAAAAACCCAAATAGCTAGAGTTTAGATATTAAGCATGAAAGATCTTTAAGTAAATATCTACAAAGTTTGTTCAAATAAAAGCCCGGGGGTAAAAACTGGCCCTGCCCCAGGGGTGTCATTGTTTTTAACTATATGTGTATAGTAAAAACTTTAAAAATCTTCTTTTAAAAAACCCAATGAGCTAGAACTTAGATGTTAAGCATGAAACATCTTCTTATGGGTGTCTACCAAGTCTGTTTAAATAAGCAAATAAAAGCCCTTGGGTAAAAAATTGGCCCGGGGTGGGGGGGGGGCTATATACAGGTGAGCGACCTCAGGGCCATCATGGCCCTCTTGTTGGTAAAGTTAAAAATGTCTTAATGGTAAAAGTCAAAAAATGCTTTAACTGTTTAAGCCAGCAGTGACTTATTGGTATAATTAAGCAGTGGCCTGTTGGTGAAATCAAGCTGTGGTTTATTGGTGTAAGTGAGAAAAAGCCTGTTGGTGTAAGTAAGCCGTGGCCTGTTGGTGTGAGTGCCTATTGGTGTAAGTAAGCAGTGGTCTATTGGTGTAAGTGAGCAGCAGCCTATTGGTGTAAGTAAGTAAACTATGGTCTATTGGTGTAAGTGAGCAGCAGCAGCCTATTGGTGTAAGTAAGCATAAACTATGGTCTATTGGTGTAAGTGAGCAGCAGCAGCCTATTGGTGTAAGTGAGCAGTGGTCTATTGGTGTAAGTGAGCAGCAGCAGCCTATTGGTGTAAGTGAGCAGTGGTTAATTGGTGTAAGTGAGCAGTGGTCTATTGGTGTAAGTGAGCAGCAGCCTATTAGTGTAAGTGAGCAGTGGTTAATTGGTGTAAGTGAGCAGTGGTCTATTGGTGTACTTGAGCAGTGTTCTATTGGTGCAAGTGAGCAGCAGCCTATTGGTGTAAGTGAGCAGCAGCCTATTGGTGTAGTTGAGCAGTGGTTAATTGGTGTAAGTGAGCTGTGGTCTGTTGGTGTACTTGAGCAGTGATCTATTGGTGTAATTGAGCAGCAGCCTATCAGTGAAAGTGAGCAGTGGTTTATTGGTGTAAGTGAGTTATATTCTATCGGTGTAAGTGAGCAATGGCCTTTTGGAATAAGCAATGACCTATGAGTTTTAAGTGAGCATTGGTCTAATGAATTATTGAGTGTCTGCTGTTTTGGTCTAAGGGTCACATGTTTAAGTGCGTGTGGAGTCTCGACTAGTGTTCTGTATGTGACACTAGTACTGGTTAGTTTAAGGAATATTACAATGTTTAAATTAACCATTTTTAGATATTTTTCTTCTCATTGTATAATATTTGTACCATAATAACCCTCTTTCAAATAACCTTGCCTTATCCTAGCTAAACTTCTTGGTGTTATATACATTAATTGAGTGTTGCATGATCTTTTCTTCAGAAACATCCTGAATACAAAAGTATTGCTGTTGCTTTGCAAGATAAAAGCTTTTCTAGATCATTTAAAGCTATTTCATACTCTATTTGTTATAATGTAATGTAGATTTATTTAGAACTATTTGTAACATCTTACAGTCTTTCATTTTTCATAATTTTTCTCACTATGAATTTTTAACATGTTTGAAAAGTTTTGTACTCATTAGAAAAGGTAAATATCAAAGCCTGACTGCAAATCTATGTTAGATGAAAGAAATGTTAAACTCACTTAAAAAACTAAATTAACTGATATTTACTGTGGAGGGGGTGGTGCCAGCTTGGTGGGCTCATAATTCATGGCATTAGATGATTATACAATTATTATCTTCATTGGGCTCAGTGAATAATACCTGAATATATCACACCTTAAAAAAACAGTAAATTTGACATATAATCACAAAAAGACCTTTAATGGAAGATATACTATGCTGGTCTTTGTGTGAAATACTTTCATTGCAGACATTTGAAATCTAGGAGATTCTTTCAAATTATGTCTAATTCTTACAGATTATGTCTAATTTGAATAATAAATATAATGCACAAACTATGGTTGGGAAGCTGTATTCCCTATTACCTACTGGTAATTTGGTCCTTACTTAAAAAAACTGTCTGCAAGTTGGTTTTAATAACATTTTCTATTTATATTAACTGCCTTGTACTGTATTTTCTAATATAATCCTATACTTTGTTGTCTTCCAATGCTTTCAATAAATAAGACTTTTCAAATTTATCTTTCAAGATTTTTTTACCAATTTTTGTCCTAATTACAATTTTATGATTGAATTTCCTTAACTTTCATCTTATTTATGTTTCTCTAAGATTTGTAGTAATAGATGACACCTTCTTAATTATACTACTATAACTATTTATAATCTAATTTATCTAGTAGTAAAATCTTTTATACATCATATGTTCTGAAATCACAAAAATCATGCCTATCATTGTGTAATGTTTGTTGTTGTTGTTGTTGCTGACTGGTTATGTATTAAATTCTTGTGTCAATGTCTATTGAATGTCTTCTTAATGTCTATTGAATGTCTCTTAACTGTTTTCAGAGAGGTCGGACATATAGAAGCCAGAATGGGGTATATACTGAAATTCTTCTTCTTCTTAAACTACTAACCAAATTGTTTATATTATTTTTCTATTCTTAGAACTTATTGTTTGATTTTCTTTAACCTGTCATGATGAAGTGCATATTGAGCATGTTTTGGATATGGTCTTATTTTTAGGTTTCAACGCAATGCTGTCGATTTTTCCGTCTAACTTTAACACTCTTCCAGATTTGTGTAAAATTTTAAGGAAGTTTTGAAAAACACCGATACCACTTACAATTCACAAACATAACTTATATCAAAATAAAGTAAATTTATATTATTATACTCTATAAATGACTGTTTAGAATTATGGTGATTTAAACAGTCTATATTACTGTAATTTTTATAATACATTCAGTTTATCATCAGTCTTTATATAAGAAAAAAAATGTTCTTAATTTTTTAATCGAGCAAGCTGTCAAAAAGGTTGGTTGTATATTGGGGTACATGCTAGTGCCTGAGATGTTTCACAAGGGGAACATGCAAAGTCCCTCCATCAAAGCTGGAACATCCTCATGTGGCCTTCACAAGTTACTTGAAAGCTAACAAATTTAATTAATTTTAGGGTATATATTTTCCTTATCTGGAGGTGTGGCATTGTATTACTTGTGTATTGCGTTGAAATGTTTATTAATCTGTCTTTATTTTGATGGAAATTACTAAGCACAGGCATAAATGGTAGAAAAATACTTCATTTTCATTTCCTTGTTTTACGTTAGTGATATTAATTATTTTACTAACATTTGTTCCCACAATTTATGTAGGTAATAGGCATGTTTCTGTGGTAACAAATCTACAGTACAACCTTTACATACATGTAGCAATACTGTTTGGTATCAAATCTACAGTATAACCTTTTACATAGCAATACCCTTTGGTATCAAATCTACAGTATAACCTTTTACATAGTAATACCCTTTGGTAACAAATCTACAGTACAACATTTTACATAGCAATACCCTTTAGTAACAAATCTACAGTACAACATTTTACATAGCAATACCCTTTGGTAGTAGAACATTTTACATAGCAATACCTTTTAGTAACAAATCTACAGTACAATATTTTACATAGCAATACCTTTTAGAAACAAATCTACAGTATAACCATTTACATAGCAATACCCTTTGGTAACAAATCTACAGTAAAACATTTTACATAGCAATACCCTTTGGTAGTACAACATTTTACATAGCAATACCTTTTAGTAACAAATCTACAGTACAACATTTTACATAGCAATACCCTTTGGTAACAAATATACAGTATAACCTTTTACATAGCAATACCCTTTGGTAACAAATCTACAGTACAACATTTTATATAGTAATAAATACCCTTTAGTAACAAATCTACAGTACAACATTTTATATAGTAATACCCTTTAGTAACAAATCTACAGTACAACATTTTACATAGTAATATGGTTTGGTAACAAATCTACATTATAACCTTTTACATAGCAATACCTTTTAGTAACAAATATACAGTACAACATTTTACAGAGTAATACCTTTTGGTAACAGATCTAAAGTACAACATTTTACAGAGCAATACACTTTGGTAACAAATCTACAGCACAACATTTTACATAGCAATACCCTTTGGTAGTACAACATTTTACATAGCAATACCTTTTAGTAACAAATCTACAGTACAATATTTTGCATAGCAATACCTTATAGTAACAAATCTACAGTACAACATTTTATATAGCAATACCCTTTGGTAACAAATCTACAGTATAACTTTTTACATAGCAATTCCTTTTAGTAACAAATCTACAGTACAATATTTTACATAGTAATACCTTTTAGTAACAAATCTACAGTACACTATTTTATATAGTAATACCCTTTAGTAACAAATCTACAGTACAACATTTTATATAGTAATACCCTTTAGTAACAAATCTACAGTACAACATTTTACATAGCAATACCTTTTAGTAACAAATCCACAGTATAACCTTTTACATAGCAATTCCTTTTAGTAACAAATCTACAGTACAATATTTTACATAGTAATACCCTTTAGTAACAAATCTACAGTACAATATTTTACATAGTAATACCCTTTAGTAACAAATCTACAGTACAACATTTTACATAGTAATACCCTTTAGTAACAAATCTACAGTACAACATTTTACATAGCAATACCTTTTAGTAACAAATCTACAGTACAACATTTTACATAGCAATACCTTTTAGTAACAAATCTACAGTACAATATTTTACATAGTAATACCTTTTAATAACAAATCTACAGTACAATATTTTACATAGTAATACCCTTTAGTTACAAATCTACAGTACAACATTTTATATAGTAATACCCTTTAGTAACAAATCTACAGTACAACATTTTACATAGCAATTCCTTTTAGTAACAAATCTACAGTACAATATTTTACAGAGTAATACCTTTTGGTAACAAATCTACAGTACAATATTTTACATAGCAATACCCTTTGGTAACAAATATACAGTATAACCTTTTACATAGTAATACCCTTTAGTAACAAATCTACAGTACAACATTTTACATAGCAATACCTTTTAATAACAAATTTACAGTACAATATTTTACAGAGTAATACCTTTTAGTAACAAATCAACAGTACAATATTTTACAGAGTAATACCTTTTGGTAACAGATCTACAGTACATAATTTTACATAGCAATACCCTTTGGTAACAAATCTACAGTACAACATTTAACATAGCAATACCTTTTAGAAACAAATCTTCAGGTACAATATTTTACATAGCAATACCTTATAGTAACAAATCTACAGTACAACATTTTACATAGCAATATCTTGTAATAACAAATCTACAGTACAACATTCTACATAGCAATACCTTTGGTAACAAATCTACAGTACAACATTTTACATAGCAATACCTTTTAGAAACAAATCTACAGTACAATATTTTACATAGCAATACCTTTTAGAAACAAATCTACAGTACAACATTTTACATAGCAATACCTTTTAGTAACAAATCTACAGTACAATATTTTACATAGCAATACCTTTAGTAACAAATCTACAGTACAACATTTTACATAGCAATACCCTTTAGTAACAAATCTACAGTACAACATTTTACATAGCAATACCTTTTAGTAACAAATCTACAGTACAACATTTTACATAGCAATACCTTTTGGAAACAGATCTACAGTACAACATTTTACAGAGCAATACACTTTGGTAACAAATCTACAGTACAACATTTTACATAGCAAAACCTTTTAGAAACAAATCTACAGTACAATATTTTACATAGCAATACCTTATAGTAACAAATCTACAGTCAAACATTTTACATAGCAATATCTTGTAATAACATATCTACAGTACAACATTCTACAAAGCAATACCTTTGATAACAAATCTACAGTACAACATTTTACATAGCAATACCTTTTAGTAACAAATCTACAGTACAATATTTTACAGAGCAATACACTTTGGTAACAGATCTACAGTACAACATTCTACATAGCAATACCTTTCAGTAGCAAATCTACAGTACAACATTTTACATAGCAATACCTTTTAGTAACAAATACAATATTTTACAGAGTAACACCTTTTGGTAACAAATCTACAGTACAACATTCTACATAGCAATACCTTTGGTAACAAATCTACAGTACAATATATTACAGAGCAATACCATTTACGAGACATGATTTTTGTTGTTACAGAGAGCTGTAGGTCTGAAATGGTTTAATCTGTTATGATGGTTTAATCTGTTGTGAAGTCCTACAAACTGTTGTTTCAAACCAATTGCCCTTCACTGCTGTGAGTTGGAATCCAGACAGGGACTTTGGATTCCAACATGCGAGGAAGCTATCCAGCTTGCTTACAGAACATCGGTGGTTCTACTCAGGTGTCTATTTGTGCCTGTAATATTATGCATGGAAGTGCACCTGAGGTCTTCCTCCACCAGAATAGCTGGAACAGCTGGAATGTCACCATATGACCTATACTGTGTTGGTGTGACGTAAAACCCAATCAAACAAACACACACTGTTGTTGCAAATAGGTGCTTGTTTAATAGGGGTCCACTCTGTAGAGGTTGTACTGTTATTGCTAACTTTAGAACATTTTTTTAGTCATAACTAACGCATGTAGTGTATTTTCCCTGTAAGTATTAACTGTCTGTTATGGCTGAAGTAAGAATCATATAATGTTACGGGTGAATTAAGAATTATTAAACTTGAGTTAGATACAGAAAACTCAAGTTGATGAAAATCATAAATAATTTGTAAAGCATTAAATAATTTTGTTGTTGTTGTTGCAAAGATATCGCAATGATTTTAATCACCAAACATTGAGATATTAATTGAAACATAAGTAACATAATTTACATTAAAGGAACATAAGTGCTTGTGTTAACAATTAAAGGAACAGACCACTGATGCCCAAATGGTACTTATTAATGTCCAGAAATATTTTTCCAGTCCCATCATATCAAAAAATCTCTTTAACATATTATATTTATCCAAAGTTGATTTTTTTTACATCTCTGATATGGAGACATTATTCTTAGTCTGATAGTATAATTTTATGTAGTAATAAGATAGACAATGTCATTTGTCTGTTTTTGTTATGAAACATATCATTTTTCTGTCATCATTCTATATTGTTTCTTTCTTTCAATGCAAGGCCTTTGGGTTTTTTTTAAAAGTTTTTTTGTATTACTTTTTTTACCATTTTGAATAAGTATTTAATAATTATGCTATTAATTTTGTTTCTTATTACTGTAAATATTAACTTATATTTTGGTTTTGAGACATTGAATAATAATGGATATAACCTTTGGTACCAGATCCTATATGTAAATGTCCAGCCTCACCATTTTATATATGTTGTCATTGCTCCGGAGAACAAATCCTTCTCCAGATTTTCATGCTCTCAGTTTGGTTACCAGGTGCTTTATACTGTGTGGCAGCTTAAACATTTTCCTACTGTCTCTGAACATTGTTTTTTTCTTCTGATTTATAGGGGTCTCTGAACATTGTTTTTTTCTTCTGATTTATTAGGGGCCTTATATTAAAAAAAACCTGATTGTTTTGAAGACTGAACATTGCTGAAACCTGAATGCTGCAGGATTGGGGGTGGGGAGTGCATGCAAGATGTATCTTGAACTATCTCTTCTGAATATTCTTAATTTTAATCAATTGAATCTGCAATTTTCACTTATGTGCATTATGTTTGCTTAATTAAGCAGTATAAGCAATCTCTTCTTTTCCCAATTTGTTTATTTTGCTTTCCATAGGGTTATACTAAGTGTAATAATTTTAAATTGAAAACAAAATATATATGTGTTAAGTTTATTATGAAAGTCTGTTTCTAAACTTCTTTTCTAGACAGTAGTGTTTGCTGCATATAGTCATATTCATTGTTTAAACCTCATTTCTTTTAGTGGTAAAATACTTTACCCTCCATTTTAATGTTTCTGTATTCTATTTGTTTTATAGTGCTAATCTTATTATTATTACTTCAATATTAGTTTCTTTATTAAAGAATTTAAGTTGAAAGTGTACTTTTACTTTTAGAATAAGTATATTTACAATTTTACTCTATAAAGCATACATGCAGCAGTTTAAAGTAATTTAAATTGTTTCCCAGAAATGATAAATCATATCCCATTGGCTTTTTGATGAAATTTGAATTGCAGTGAAAATTTGAAGTATGGAGTATATTTAAATCATACAGTTTTTAACTCTTTAGAAATTTGAAATCATTATAAAATTGAATGTTCCATTTTGATATGAAAACATAATTAATCTTATTGTTACCAGTTTTTCTTATTTAAAAAAGGATAATAGCTTTGCGCTTATAAAATGCTTGTGTATTTTATTTGGGTTAATTGTTTTGTATGGTTATAAATTGCAATTAAACACTATAAAGATTATAGAAGGCAAGTTTTAGTTGTACAAGTGGAGGAAATGCTTCACGTGCCCCTTCCTGTATTTTGTTATGGCACAAGTTGACACCTAAGTAGAACCAACCACCTTTTGTATGCTAGCTGGATTGAGCTTTACATGAAAAAATCCAAATTACCTGACTGGATTTGAACCCAAAGTGGTGAGGGACTGTAATATGAATTCAGCAATTGACATCAGTGTTGGTTAGTCCAGAACCATTGTTGGTTACCCATGGTATATATTCTGTACATACTACATTATCTACAGTGGGTAATTTCACTGGCAAAGCTTTAAACTCCTTCACAATTAACGAGACATTTCATTGGTTACGTTGTTGCAACAGAGCAGAGAATTTGACGAATGAATCAGCGTTTCACATAATATTTAGTTGATTAAACATGACTGCATCCATAAACTTTTGAAACATGGATAGCATAAATATTCCACTCAGCTTGAATCCAGATCGTAGTTAATGATTAAACATTTATTTCCATGTACTTTGGGAAAAGGCGTAAAATTACACAAACAAACAAACATACCATGTACTTTCCTGTAAGACTTTGTGTTTATTATAGCCAATAACCAAGCATTGCACCATGGCATAGCCATTTTGGATACATTAAATGTTATCAGCCATTTTGGATACATTAAATGTTATCAGCCATTTTTGATACAGAAAATGTTATCAGCCATTTTGGATACATTAAATGTTATCAGCCATTTTGGATACAGAAAATTTTATCAGCCATTTTGGATACATTAAATGTTATCACCAATTTTGGATACATTAAATGTTATCAGCCATTTTGGATACATTAAATGTTATCAGCCATTTTGGATACATTAAATGTTATCAGCCATTTTGGATACATTAAATGTTATCAGCCATTTTGGATACATTAAATGTTATCAGCCATTTTGGATACATTAAATGTTATCAGCCATTTTGGATACATTAAATGTTATCAGCCATTTTGGATACATTAAATGTTATCAGCCATTTTGGATACATTAAATGTTATCAGCCATTTTGGATACATTAAATGTTATCAGCCATTTTGGATACATTAAATGTTATCTGTCATTTCATGGGTTATTGGATATCTTACTCAAATATTCATGAATACGAGGTATGTTCAGTGGAATATACCAACCCATGGTAGATCATGTAGTATTACGGTAATATATACCTTGGGTATATATACTATGGGTAACCAATGATGGTCAAGAACATAATGAATGTGCTTAGTGTTTAACATCGCATCTGCTTTTATTGCATTTTATGATTATGAGTTATTATTGAAGCATGATGGACTGAAAATTTGATTTGATTTTTTTTGCACAGGCATTGTCTGCTGTAAGTTTGATTTACCATCACCCTTTTATTTGTTACTCATTTCCTTTGTATTTTTTTCCTACTGTATCTCAGATGTATACTTTTTCCATATTCAAATTTTTTTATCAAACATACATGAATCAGTTTTCAAAAAGAAATTACTAGTAATTTGATGTGACTTTCTTCTGTAAGTGGAAGTTTTTAAGTTGTTTTTTTCTTCATTAATTGATTGAATCCACAAGTTCAAATATTATAAAGTACATGATTTCATTCCAACAAAATTATTTATATTTATGTTTACATAAACTTGTTTAGTTCATGATGTTCTAAGAAAGTCTTTTAACAAATCATTTGTGTTGTGTTTTTTTTTTACCTCATTACCCATCATCTTAACTGAAATATTCATATCTCTTTCTGTCTGTGTTGTTATTGTCATTAAAGTCAGCTGGATTGTGTGCTTCATGCACTGATTATTGAATTTGAGCATTTTTTACTTAGGTTCATGACTTTGCATGATAAATGGACTTATTTGGCTCTGATATGAAATGGGCATACTAAATTAAATTTGCTAGTTTTATTGTTGGTGAAAAAAGCTTGCATAGGTAAATTTTTTAAAAAGATCAGTATTCATGATTGTTAACTTTCTATAATAATATTGTTAACTTTCTATAATAATATCAGTGTCACTTTTTTGCTTTATGTCGTTAATAATGTTTTTACTTGAAATAAAACAAGACTTTTATACACTATTGCAGGAATTTATCCCATGTTGGAATTTGGTCAAATGAGATATTTTCCCCATGGGATCCCCCATTACCCCATTATCTAAAATATTTGAGAAACCTTCCAGTCAAAGGACTTTAGCTACAGTCATTGTTGGTGTGAAGCTTACTGTATAAATTTAAGTATTATGAAAACCAAATAATACAAAATTAGCCAACAGAAAAAAGATGATGTGCCTGTAAGCTTTACTCAAAAATGATTCTTATGGCCAGTGGGGGAAAAAAAGTCCCACAGGAGCAACTTATGAACTTTTATATGTGTGAAGATTAGACATGATTTTTTTCAATTAAATTGTTAATACCTAACAGAAGGTTACTCAGAGGTTGTTATTTAACATAACTGCACACTCACAAACAAATGTTTTATCCTGTTTGTATTGTCTTAAGCTATATACATGTACATTGTATATTTGAATTTTTATGTAATCAAAATTGAATAAGATTTGTGAATATTTAATCTTGAGCACTTGCTCTCAATATACTGTACAGGACAAATGAAATTGATTATAAAAACTTGACTTTGTCATTTTTGTTTCATTTAAATCTTGAAATCTTTTATGGATTCCTATTTTTAAGTTTTTTGCTTGTAAGAAATAGATCTTTGTTATTCTCTTAAATTTAAAGCTCATAATATAATGCATATGAATTCACAAGGAATATATTAGGAATTATCTTGATCTGGAATTTAAGCTATCAGTTTAAGTTTATATAAGTTCTATTATTCTATTTATCTTTTTTCTTTTTTCTTTTAGGTTTCATTGAATATGATGACTGGTTCAGAAAGACAAGAGGATCATTCTGGTCAAGTCAACCCAGAACTGCATGAGATTAGTCAGATGGTCAAGTGTAGAATGCAGAGTATAGGTCAGCCTCTTAGTGACTATGGTAAGTGTTTGAACCCCGGTTGACCAGTAGAATTTGTTGTTGAAATTCAGAATCCGTAGTGGTTAGATGGTATAACAGACTTTCTATAATGGACTTATTCACTTTAATATACTTGAAAGCTAAGTAAGTTGAAGTCAGGTTGACTTTAATAATAATAATATGTCATCAGGGTTGAGCTATTATGAAAATAACAAAAACAAATTGTATTTTCTATAAATTTTTAGAATAATTTTGATAAAAAAATTTTTTTTTATAAATTTTTAGAATGATTTTTATAAAAAATCATTTTATTTCATCTATAATTACATTTTTGTATTTCTAAGGCAGGGGACATAATTATTAGAATTTAAATGTTAGAATATTGTTTTTTACATTTCAAATATATTTTGAAGATTGATTTTCATATGGTTTTGTCAATGTTTACATGTATTTCTCTCATTTCCTGTTCAAAATTGTTTGAGTCTGAATATTGATATTATTTCTGCATGCATTATGATATTATTTTATATATTATTACCAATTGTAACTCATTATATTTTATGTATTATTTTCGCGTTACTCATTATATTGTATGCATTATTATGAGTGACTCATTATATTTTATGAATTATTTCCAAGTTACTCATCATATTTTATGTATTATTTCCAAATTAAAGTCATTATATTTTATGTATTATTTCCAAGTAACTGAAGATCATACTTTATGTATATATTTCCTAGTAACTCATTATATTTTATTAATCATTTGTAAAGTAATTCACAAGATAATAAATCTTTTCAGAAATCTCGGGTAAGGATTGATATTTATGCAATTTTGATTAAAACCTAATGAATTTTCTGCAACACCATATATTACTTAACATCCAGCTACATTCACCCAGTCATGCATGATGATAAAGCATTTAATTCTTCCAGTCATCTGTAAGTCAAGGAAATTAAGCTATTTCACCAAACTTCCTCCAATGTTTGCCATGATTTGTTCCTTTTGAGATCCTGTTACACAAATATTTCCTTAGTTTTGACCTTTTCTTTATCTTGTAGAAATCTTTTACCGCCACAGTTTCAGAGTTTTTGACATGAGCTCATCCTGTTAAATCCTTATCTTCCACAGTTTCTGCACTTTTTACATTGAAAAGTCTTTTTGAATTTCTCAGACTTTGACATATTTAGCTCAATAAGAAGAGCATGGGATTTGTTCAATTTTTGGGCACCCAACAATTGATCTTAGTCATTAATTCTTATCGCTTGTGATTCAGAAATCATGTGGGATTGATAGTCGGTCATTTACAGAGAAATTGGTAATTGCTGGTTAGTTATCAAGGATTTAAGCTGGGTGGGTGGACCAATGCATATGACCAAAATAAGTTAAAAGTCAGTGTTTAATTAATCAAACTAACAAACTTTTGACATAAACTTTCCTTTTCATATCCTATACCAAAACCACTTCTCAGATTTTGACATGAGCTCATCTTTTTCATATCCTTTACCAAAACCACTTCTCAGATTTTGACATGAGCTCATCTTTTTCATATCCTATACCAAAACCACTTCTCAGATTTTGACATGAGCTCATCTTTTTTATATCCTTTACCACAACCACTTCTCAGATTTTGACATGAGCTCATCTTTTTCATATCCTTTACCAAAACCACTTCTCAGATTTTGACATGAGCTCATCTTTTTCATATCCTTTACCAAAACCACTTCTCAGATTTTGACATGAGCTCATCTTTTTCATATCCTTTATCAAAACCACTTCTCAGATTTTGACATGAGCTCATCTTTTTCATTATAATATCCTTTACCAAAACCACTTCTCAGATTTTGACATGAGCTCATCTTTTTCATATCCTTTACCAAAACCACTTCTCAGATTTTGACATGAGCTCATCTTTTTCATTATAATATCCTTTACCAAAACCATTCCTCAGATTTTGACACACACTCACCTTTTTCATATCCTATACCAAAACCACTTCTCAGATTTTGACATGAGCTCATCTTTTTCATATCCTTTACCAAAACCACTTCTCAGATTTTGACATGAGCTCATCTTTTTCATATCCTTTACCAAAACCACTTCTCAGATTTTGACATGAGCTCATCTTTTTTATATCCTTCACCACAACCACTTCTCAGATTTTGACATGAGCTCATCTCTTTTTATATCCAATACCACAACAAGTTCTCAGATTTTGATATGATCTCATCTTTTTCATTATAATATCCTTTACCAAAACCATTCCTCAGATTTTGACACACACTCACCTTTTTCATATCCTATACCAAAACCACTTCTCAGATTTTGACATGAGCTCATCTTTTTCATATCCTTTACCAAAACCACTTCTCAGATTTTGACATGAGCTCATCTTTTTCATATCCTTTACCAAAACCACTTCTCAGATTTTGACATGAGCTCATCTTTTTCATATCCTTTACCACAACCACTTCTCAGATTTTGACATGAGCTCATCTTTTTCATATCCTTTACCAAAACCACTTCTCAGATTTTGACATGAGCTCATCTTTTTTATATCCAATACCACAACAAGTTCTCAGATTTTGATATGATCTCATCATGTGTTCCCAAACTATGACATGCATGTGTATACAGACATGACCTTTAACTTCTGTAAGATGCAGGGGAACGTCGACATCAAGGCAAAGGTCGTCTTTTAATCTTGAAATATTTAAAGCTTCTGTAGATGTTAATGTAACCATTTAAGTTAAGTAGGTAAAATTACTTCATCCATTTTCATTATAATAATATCATATACATGTACATGCTTAACTAAAATAATGTTTGATTTTACTGTAAATGCTAACTTAAATACTATTTGACAGCATAATTTGGCGGTAAACTTTGACAAAGCTAGGTGTCTATCTTGACCATTCAATAGCTGGCTTTTTTTTCTTTTTTTTGATTACTCAAAAAAAATAAAAATGAATCTGGGCATATATTATCCTGTCTTTGCAGTGCTCTTGTTAATATAACAATCATTTGATCTTTATGAAATATTAATAAGTCTGTAAATATGCAACTAAAGGTCATACGGTAATTCTACAATGAGTCATTATTCTTAGACTTTCTTCATAAGTTCTTCTATATGTAATTGATATACCAATGAAATTAATCTACAGCAGTTTTATCAATGAGAAAGGAGAGCCTGTACTTAAAAAATATATGCTTAATACTTAAGAAATATATGCGTAAGTTTTTGGAGCAGTCTTCGGAATGTGAGCATCATGTGACATGATGTGGTGCCTGAAGAAATATAATATTATGTTTTGTTCACATTCACATTTCAGATGACAAGAATGAAAAGAGAGATACTATTTCCTATGTAGTGATCAATCCTGGCTATGATTTACAGCTCAAACTCGGAGATGTTGTGTAAGTTATTTTAATCTCATATTTTGTTTTAAATATTCTTGCATATCAGACAGGATTATCTGCTGTTTACACTGGTGCTAGAAGAACCTGTCTTAATTACACACCCCATGTAAAACAAGTCGGATGTTTTAAACGATGTCATTCCCACGCACCTTTTATGAATGAATTGCGTTCTTTGGATGACATCATTGTGCTGTTATGAATGAAGTTATGAATTTATACGCTACTATAAGAAAAAAAGTGCTAAATAACAATATTAGTTTCGTAATTTCTTTTAATATTTTCATTTATTTGTAATATGCAAGAAAAAGAATCAAACACCGGCTGTTGTCACAGACAGGAATATCTAGCCTTGTTACAGCCGTAAACAGCTACCCTCGAGCTAGATTATTACCAGTCCGTACCATGCAGCCAGTGTAAGATTCTTATATACTTGTTATTATAATTATGATTTATATTAATTTATCTAGTTTTGTTTGTTTTTCTTTCTTCTAATATTTGATATGTAAAACAACTTTAATGTTCAAGGTTCCCATTATACACAGATATAAGTGATATCTTTTTGGAAATTGCAAATGGTGTAAATTATGTAAAGGGAGATAACTTATTGTTAATAATTTTAACCAAATTATGCATTTTAACCAAATTATGCATGGTATTTGTTGTCAGAGTTGCGTTTTGTTATCATTTCAAACATTGTTGCGTTGTGTTGAGCATGTATAATAGGATTCTTATAGGAATACCTTGATCTGGAATTTCTATGTAACTAATGGATTTTACTAGGATAGGATCTCAAGAGTGTTACTTGTTATAATAAAATCCATGAGTGGAAAAAGCGAGTAATGGATCATTATACTCCTATAACTCTTTTATAACATACATGCCAGGGAACTGTCCGTAGCCAAGTGGTTAAAGTTGTTGACTTCAAACCCCTCACCGCTATGGGTTCGAATCCTACATCAACTTTAGATTCTTTCATGTGAGGAAGGTATGCAGCTAGCTGCCAGAACGTCCATGTTCTACTCAGGTGCCTTTTAGTGCCTGAAACAATGCACAGAGGGGCACCTGAGGTCTTCCACAACCAGTAAAGCTTGAACGTACCAATATTACCAATACTGTGTGGGTGTGACATAAAACCCAATCAAAACAAACAAACAAAACATACATTTACCTATTTATATTCAACCTTTACATAATTGGCATAATGCCAGAAACTTGTTTCTGTGTCATATTTTTACATGTGATTCTTGCATTATATGTAGAAGAACATATTATTAAACCAAGCACAAATTATAGTTAAATTTTTTTTGTTACCCCTTAACATATATTATCATTGGACAACTGTACATATTATAATTGATTTACTTTCAGTTATTTGATACGACCGAGTTCTTTATCTCCAAAACCTTCACCATTGATAGATGAGAGGAAACAGATGCAGCATCATATGAATGGGGTAATGTATTGTCTTTCCCACAGTGAGATATATTCTATATCACACACTGTCACAAATGTCTAATTAATGTAATAATATATGATAATAATATAATAAAATATTAGATCTACTAATATTAAAGCAATATGTACAAAACGTATATGATTTTGTGTTTATTTCTTATTATTATTGAAAGGCTGATAGTGCAAATATGTTATGTTTTATTTATAATCTCATAACTTTAAAGTGAATTTTAGGGGTGCTGCAGAAAATATTTACATGATTGAATTTTAAAATATCATAAATTTAAAGCAATCCATTTTCTTTATATGTATTACACTAGTCTACAGTCATGTCCTTGCCTTTATAAGTATTGAAAGATTTATGTTGCTTTAATTAGTTAAATGTTGGGTTTCATAAGTGAAATATATTCTATATCACTGACTCGGTATATGTTTTATCATGAAAATAAATCCAAAGTTTTTTTGATGATGCAAAGAAAATAACAAATATTTCCTATAGATCAGCCTTTAAAATTTTATGTTCTGTTTGTTATTTAGAAAAGAGAGGAACCAACAGGGGCAGATAACTCTGAGATACAAACATCTGACTCGGTTGTTAAGACAAAAGGACGACTTGTTAAAGATGGAAACAATCGGGTAAGATTTGAACAATGATGAAAAATGATTTGTAAATACATTATATATTGTCAATTAAGTAATATTCATGCACATTTTGAAATGAACTGATGAAAGTTAATATAAGAACACATTTTTCTTGCAGACAGGGAATTCTACTGTTTACATAATGGGTATAAAAAACCCTAGTGTGCGACAAGTCATGTGATTTAAATTATATGATTCCACACACCTTTCCTGTATAAATTGCGTGCCTCGGATGAAAACATTAAGCTTTTATGAATTAAGTTGTAAATTCATATGCAATTATGAAATAAGTGCCAAATGAAAATAGTAGGTTTTGCATTTTCTTCCTGAAATAATGTAGTATGCAAGAAAAAGAATCAAACACTGGTTGTCCTTACAGACAGGAAAATCTAGCGCTTGGTTTATAGTGTTAAACAGAAATTCCACAGTCTTGTTACACTACAGTAAACAGCTACATACCCTCGTGCTAGATATTCCTGTCTGTATCAGCAGCTGGTATTGAATTCCTTCAATGCCCATACAAGTAAATATTCATACACAATCATCCATTGATCTGCCAATAATATGCTGTTTCCGTCTTTAGCTTTTAGGTATTGGAAGCCCTCAATATAACATTTAACTTTATTCAAAGCAGGGTGAATCTGTTATGCAAATTTAACTGTACAGGCATTCAGAACAGCTTTTGATTTTGTTTGATTCTTGGTAATGGTAGCTATTACATCAGAAGATTACATTATTTATTTTCAGATCCCAATAATATATATGGATGACATTCTTGGTAATGGCCACTATAACATCAGAAGATGTAATCACATTTTACATTATTTATTTTCAGATCCCAATAATATATATGGATGACATTCTTGGTAATGGCCACTATAGCATCAGAAGATGTAATCACATTTTGCATGATTTATTTTCAGATCCCAATAATATATATGGATGACATTCTTGGTAATGGCCACTATAACATCAGAAGATGTAATCACATTTTGCATTATTTATTTTTCAGATCCCAATAATATATATGGATGACATTCTTGGTAATGGCCACTATAACATCAGAAGATGTAATCACATTTTGCATTATTTATTTTTCAGATCCCAATAATATATATGGATGACATTCTTGGTAATGGCCACTATAGCATCAGAAGATGTAATCAAATTTGGCATGATTTATTTTCAGATCCCAATAATATATATGGATGACATTCTTGGTAATGGCCACTATAACATCAGAAGATGTAATCACATTTTGCATGATTTATTGTCAGATCCCAATAATATATATGGAAGACATTCTTGGTAATGGCCACTATAGCATCAGAAGATGTAATCACATTTTGCATTACTTATTTTTCAGATCCCAATAATATATATTGATGACATTCTTGGTAATGGCCACTATAGCATCAGAAGATGTAATCACATTTTGCATGATTTATTTTCAGATCCCAATAATATATATGGATGACATTCTTGGTAATGGCCACTATAGCATCAGAAGATGTAATCACATTTTGCATTATTTATTTTTCAGATCCCAATAATATATATGAATGACATTCTTGGTTCAGGCCACTATAGCATCAGAAGATGTAATCACATTTTGCATTTTTTATTTTCAGATCCCAATAATATATATGGATGACATTCTTGGTAATGGCCACTATAGCATCAGAAGATGTAATCACATTTTGCATTATTTATTTTCAGATCCCAATAATATATATGGATGACATTCTTGGTAATGGCCACTATAGCATCAGAAGATGTAATCACATTTTTCATTATTTATTTTCAGATCCCAATAATATATATGGATGACATTCTTGGTAATGGCCACTATAGCATCAGAAGATGTAATCAAATGTTGCATTATTTATTTTCAGATCCCAATAATATATATGGATGACATTCTTGGTAATGGCCACTATAACATCAGAAGATGTAATCACATTTTGCATTATTTATTTTCAGATCCCAATAATATATATGGATGACATTCTTGGTAATGGCCACTATAACATCAGAAGATGTAATCACATTTTGCATTATTTATTTTCAGATCCCAATAATATATATGGATGACAGTGACACTGATGAAGAGATGACAGAAAATGATAAAACCACAAGCGAAAATACCGAGAGAAACAAAAACATCCCGACCTTTGACCTCATGACAGATGAAGAGCTAGATCAAGAAACATGTAACCATAGCGACCATATCAGTACGCCGGAGACGCTTGAACCTCCGGTTATAGCTGTTAAAGGAACGGTGGTGTGACACATTGGTGTATTTCTGTCAACTGACTGTGTCCACACACACAAAACCAAAACTATAGTGTACTGGATGCTTATTTACGCGTTTTAATGGCAGTAAACTCTTACTACGTGTACATGTTCAACCTGTGTAAAGTTTAGAGTGTTTAAGCATTTTAAGTCTGGACTTAAATTATTTGGTGTTATTTACATGTATTTATTAATAATTACATTTATTTATTGTCATTTACATGTATTTATTATTCTTTACATGTATATATTAATAAATACATGTATTTATTATCATTTAACTGTTATTATTATTATTACATGTATTTATTAATAATTACATGTATTTATTGTCACTTGCATTTATTTTTTACATGTATTTATTTTTAATTACATGTATTAAATATTATTTACATGTATTTATTATTTTTTACATGTATTTATTATAAATTACATTTATTTATTATTACTTACATGTATTTATTGTTATTAACATGTGTTTATTATTTATACATGTACTTATTATTAATTACATATTAAACTTTATATTATTTTCATCTGATTTTTGGTATACCTATTACGTTATCAGGTAATACATGTTTTAAATTTTATCTTGTAAATCACAATTTCATTTTTTCACTAAAGGAACGTAACTGTGATATTTTCATCATTTATTGTGATTAATTTACCATGTTAAATCATCCATAAGTCTGATCACTTATAAGACGGAGGCCAACATTTGATTCCTCCTCACTATATTGTATAGGAAATGTGTTTTGTTTTATTCATATATTTTCATTGTTTGATCATTAATTATGTCACTTTTAACCATCAAAAGAAAAATCACTTGTATGATTTGTTTTTTGTTAGTTTTGTATTTTAATGTTATAAGATTTTGTTTTCCATCTTTCTTGATGAATTTCTCACTTGGTTTTTCAGTGGTTGTGACACTATGTTTAAAGTTGTTTTTGGTATATCTTTTTATAAAGTTAACATGTATATAATCTGCGTCACGACAAAACCAACATAATGCGTTTGCGACCAGCATGGATCCAGACCAGCCTGCGCATCCCTGCAATCTGATCAGGATCCTTGCTGTTCACTATCAGTTTCTCTACTTGTAATAGGGTTTGTAAGCAAACAGCATGGATCCTGATCAGACTGCCCAGATGCGTAGGCTGGTCTGGATCCATGCTGGTCGCAGACCCATTAAGTTGGTTTTGTCATGACGCGGTTCATACAAATAACACACATTAAGGGAGTAAGTTTGAAAAATACTGGGTGGCTCTAATCTAAAGAACACAAAAAGGTTGTTATTTATAATTATATAGGTAAATTTGGATGGTGATGAGAGGTTCATATCCCATGATGTGGTTAAAATGTCCCATTTACTCTTTTCATGCTCCCCGATAAATTTCGGGGGAGCATATAGTCGGCGCCTTGTCCGTCTGTCCGTCCGGTGTCTTGTCCGGAGCATAACTTGAAAACCCTGGGAGAAAATTTGTTTAAACTTCATACAGTGGTAGAGGGCATTGAGGGAGAGTGCAGTGTCAAAGAACCATAACTCTATTTTGCCCGGTTTTTGAATTATCTCCCCTTATAGAAAAATCTTGTCCGGGACATAACTCTACAACTATAAGAGATATCAATATGAAACTTTGTAGGTGAATAGATCTCGATGGGTAGATGTGCAGTGCATAAGAACAATAACTCTTTAAGTCCTTATTTTGGAGTTATTGCCCTTTGTTAATTTTAACACTTTTAACATTGTCCGGAACATAACTCTAAAACTATAAGAGATATCAAGATGAAACATTGTAGGCAGATATATCTCATTGAGTAGAAGTGCAGTGCAAAAGAACCATAACTCTGTTAAGCCTCATTTTTTAATCATCTCCCCTTTTAGAAAAATCTTGTTCAGGACATAGCTGTAAAACTATAAGAGATATCAACATGAAACTAAGTTGTAGGTAGATATATCTCAATGGGTAGATGTGCAGTGCACAAGAATCATAACTCTGCCTTTCCTAATTCTGGAGTTATTGCCCTTTGTTTATTTTTGCTTTTTGAAGTTGTCCGGGAAATAACTCGGAAACCAATAGAGATTTCAACAAGAAACTTTGTAGGTTGATAGATCACATTGATTAGAAGTGCAGTGCAAAGAACAGTAACTCTGCCTTGCCTAATTTTGGAATTATTGCACTTTGAACTTTTTTCAGGGACATAACTCTGAAACTCAAGAGGTGTTCTTTCCTGTGTCCAAAACCTTTTCGGGGAGGATCACCCGGCTCAAACCGGGTACTTGTTTTTGTTGTTGAGAGAATAATGGTAGCATGTGCTCACTCCACTTCCTGTAAGAATAAATAATTTAGGATGCCATTTTTGAAGATGCCCAGGTGTTTTACCCATTTAACCACTGTTCCATTGAGATTGAATTTTTTTTAAACTTTTTCTTTAACCAATAACAAGGATTTTGTTTATTTGGATGAATATTTTACATGCACACAATTGACGCTGATGTTATTGTTCAAGATATGTTTAAACTACTATATAAGGAGAAACAAAAATGTGATGTTTTAGTTCTTATTTACTAATGATGAAGATTATAACATGATTCACGGCTATAAAGTTTAATGAGTCACCTATTTAAATATATGACTATCATAATTGATAATTTAATGCATAATTCTTGTGATTTATCAATCTCAAAGGTTACTAAGAAGTTGTTTATGAATGCATGATGTTCATATTTTTAACAACCTTTCATGTGCTGAATATATCTCCTGGAGTTTTGAATGTTGAACCATCCTTTCGTAGTTTAAAGATTTCAATATCAAAACACAAAAATTGAGCTACCAACAGCCAGCCTACACAGATGTTCAGATCAGTTCAAACATGTGGCAAATATAATCAGTTTAAACACGTGGCAAATATAATCAGTTTAAACAATTGGCAAATATAATCAGTTCAAACACAAGGCAATTATAATCAGTTTAAACACGCGGCAAATATAATCAGTTTTAAAACATGCGGCAAATATAATCACTTTAACCACGCGGCAAATATAATCACTTTAACCACGCGGCAAATATAATCAGTTTAAACACGCGGCAAATATAATCAGTTTAAACACGCGTCAAATATAATCAGTTTAAACACGCGGCAAATATAATCAGTTTAAACACGCGGCAAATATAATCAGTTTAAATACGTGGCAAATATTATCAGTTCAAACATGTGGCAAATATAATCAGTTTAAACACGTGGCAAATATAATCAGTTTAAACAATTGGCAAATATAATCAGTTTAAACACGTGGCAAATATAATCAGTTTAAACACGTGGCAAATATAATCAGTTTAAACACGCGGCAAATATAATCAGTTTAAACACGCGGCAAATATAATCAGTTTAAACATGTGGCAAATATAATCAGTTTAAACATGTGGCAAATATAATCAGTTTAAACACGCGGCAAATATAATCAGTTTCGGTTTCAGCAGGTTAAGGGTTGGCTAGATATTTGCACCAATTTTACCCATTTTTAAGGGTTGGCTAGATATTTGCACCAATTTTACACATATTATTAAATGTAGCATTTTATCAAGCCATTCCTGCAATGTTCAGTTTGCTCAACTTTAATACAAATTTGTTTTGTACCACATTTTATTTTTTTGTAAGAAACAATTTTATATTTGGATCTAGATTATCATAGTTGTTTTGTACATACTACATACTTAGTACACTTTGCTCATTGATTGTTTGTTAAGCACTTGTAAAAATGATGTGCGAGATTGTTACTAGGTTAAAATTTTTTAATTACTTTTTGTATGCATTTTTATGGCTTTTTTTTACATGAAATCAGAGAAAACAGGAAAAAAGCTGTTTGTATATTTACAAAACTGTAGTGCTTGAAATAGTCTAAATATGTAACTGTGTATTTTGATTAAAAATTGTAAAAGAAAATGTAACAGTACAAGTCAGAGTTGAGTTCCACTTAAACAGATTGGACAACTATGTATGTTATGAAAGAAAATGAAACAGTATAAGTCAGAGTTGAGTTCCACTTAAACAGATTGGACAACTATGTATGTTATGAAAGAAAATGAAACAGTATAAGTCAGAGTTGAGTTACACTTAAACAAATTGGACAACTATGTATGTTATGAAAGAAAATGAAACGGTATAAGTCAGAGTTGAGTTCCATTTAACGGAACGGATAACTATGAATGCACTAGCGTTATATTCCGGGATATTGATACACCAGAAATTGTAATTATGCCATAGCATGTTTATTTATGGGTTGTGTGCAATATTATTCTTTAGAATCTCATACGTAATATTATACATGACATGTATTATATTGAATCTTTAATCTTAAAATATATGAGCTGCGCCATGATAAAACCAACATAGTGCGTTTGCCACCAGCATGGATCCAGACCAGTCGCAAACGCACTATGTTGGTTTTGTCATGGCGCGGTTCAATTATGTACAATCCAATTGTTTTAAGAACATTTAATTTCAAAGACTCTTGAATTTTTCAACAAATTCCTAATGATTCAGGAAAGCTAAATGACTAAGGGGAGTTTCCATAATTATGGCATGCATTTTTTGTTGTTTAATGAATACAGTTATTGATTGATGATTTGTTTACCAGTGATTTTTCTAGGGCTGTCATTGAATATCGCAATATCGATATATCATCAATATTCATCATCCGATACAATATCAATACACAATTTCAAATATCAATACAAGCTAAAATTTATTTATTTCTCTTTATGAATATACCTCTTTTATTTTGCCTAAAAAGAGGTCACTTTTTTCAGTTTTCTTGGCTAACTTGAACTTTAAACTCTGTTTTCAAATATGTCAGTGACAAAAATAACAGAAAAAAAACAACAAAAAAACTTTCTGTTAGTTTGTAGTATTTATAATGTCTTATACAGGCATGCATAACACCATGATCCCAATTTATAACACATATTTAAATGTTTTTCATTGTATCTACTGTCAAAGTTGATATATTGATATATCATCAATTTATTTGTCTCTCGATATATCGATACAAAATTTTACATTAATGACATATCTAGTTTTTTCTGCATCTTTTATTTAAGAAAATAAATTTTATTGGTTGTTTTTACACTGTAATATTGTAAATTGCGATATTTTTATGACATTTTCCATT